AGGGATGTTGCCTCGTTTAGATTCAGCGCAAAAAAAAATTATTGACCCCTCGATTACAACACGTCATCGAACTCAATTTCCGGTTTAATTGTCGACATGAAACAACGTCACATTTTCCAATTAGGCGTTGGGGGTGGAAACACTTTCCGGGCCAACTCGTTTCATTTTATAACCGCTGCAACCGACAGCTTTTAAGCGTCGCAATTTTTAAAACGAAGTTCGATGTGTACAAACAAGTTCTGGCATGACAACCGCCACTTTATAATAATAGCAACTTCGTCCTTTTTTGTGGTTGTTGACAAACGTGGAAATTATGCAACATTTACATAAATACGATTTAACCGTACGGGGTAACAATAATTCAGTTTGTTTGTACACGACTTTCGGTCTCATTACTTTGGGTTGGAAACGTTGCGTGACGGCATGAACGTAATTTCTTAATTCATCAAGGGGTTCATTTGGTGGAAAAGTGAGAATGAATAAATGAAGGGATTTTCTACAAAAATAAGTGGCTCTCATAATCCATACTGTTTCGATTAAAAAAAAAACCTCCCAACAATTTGATGTCACCCCACAATTAATACAAATCTATAACACGTAAATTTATCACATACGAGCGCGAGTTTCACTAATAATCATTTCGGAATCGATGTTAGAACTCTCTAAACACAAGTCAATTTGCTTCTGTAGCTAATTAAGGTTTTCTAGAAAAAAATTCTCGGATAGTCTAGAAGACGTCTCATATTCCAAGGAAAGAATGCGTCACATCCTTTCATTCCTTATCGCCAGAGACTAATCTATTCGTGACTTGATTCCATCGCTTGGTTTAATCCCTACTTATCTTTTAAATTTACAAAAGCACCCACAAAATGGTGACGAGTATTAAATCGGCCATCTTTAATCATGAATTAAACGGATTCGTTTAACCCCAATATTTAAAAGCGCCCGGAGGTCATTCTACAAAGGTCCGTGACCGTTTAATATTGCAAATTCGGCGCTTTCTAGTGACGTACATGATATCATTCCCCCTAATCCTGACCGGGCTCAAAAGAGACCGAGGTAGAAACCGGAGACTGACGAACAGGAACCTCTGCATTTAATGGAGTCAAGAGGCCAAAAGAGCTGCTACCAGACCTGCCTAGACCGAATTGGGAGAGCCTTCTACGAACCTCAGCTGTACTAGACAGATCAAGCTACTATCAGGGAGCAAGTTGATAGTATCAACAAGATCATGGTCGCTCTTACTACAATGATCTACGGGGAGAATTAGGTAAATTAAGAACGGGTTATCAACGTGATGTGTCAAAGGTCCTCAAGCAACGCTTGTAAGGGAACCAGCAGCAGGTCATGGTGCACACTCTCTGAGTGCCCAGATCCTAGCTCGAAAACCGCCCGAACCTAGGCCGAAAGCTCAGTTTTGCCGAAACTACCAAATTGGTGATCAACAGCACCCCAACGAGAGGAGTATAGAAAGGATCAATACGAGATTAGGAACAAAAAGCGGGGAGGGAGACCGTCTTGGATCAGGTTCGCCGAAACTCTCAAGGAAGTAAAGCCATGAACAACAACAGCAGAGCACTGAAGAGCTTTGGGCAAAACCCACACAAACCTGAAGCAAAGGAGGCCAGAGAGGAGAGAAAGAGAGCCTTTGAACAACATGAGATCAAAGAATTGGCTGAGTTTGCATAGAACATCGCCAAGCTTAGTCCAATGGGGAGGAGTGCGCAAATGTATAAGCACATAAAACAAGTGTAAATTGTGCACAACTCTTGTGCAGATAAAGCGCATTTTTTTAACCGAAATAGTTTTTGTTTTGACATCTTCAACGGATACATTTCTTGCAGACGTCTCAATCGCTCTTTGTGAGCACCCTCTTCCGACAATCCGTTCTTGAGGTATAAGGGAATATACCCGATCACGATAAGAGGTCGAGAGGGAGGGATATGGATGGTAAAAATTTATTCCTTTGGTTGAGACCTTTCATTAGAGTACCATGAAGGAGAAAACTAGTTCCACCCCCCCCCTTCCCCTTCACCCCGTACTTTCATGTTAGGACAGAAAGAAGGCCAGTAGTTGGTATAAAACGGTTCCTTTCGTCGAGATCTTTAATTAGAATACAATGAGAGATAACATTAATTTTAACCCCCCCCCCGGACAAAACGCAAACAATAGCACATTTTTTTCTAATTCTTAAAAAATCTGCTAAAAATAGAAGGTGGAAACAAGGGGAACCAAATAATATGTATCAATGACCGCATGAGAGAGACTCCTGAAGGAGGAACGAGAAGCACAGGTCCAGCTAATGGAGGAAAACGATTACTGACCAATACCGCCATCGCCCACGATGGAAAAAATGACGGAGATGTTAGGAAGACTGAGAATATGCCAGGGCAAGATAGGGTCCAGGCCGAATTGCTACAATACGCATCAGAATGGCTAATAAATGCAGATTCCCATCACATGGAGACTGACAACTGGAAACTGGAGATTGAAACTGGAGATTGAAACTGGAGATTGAAACTGGAGATTGAAACTGGAGATTGAAACTGGAGATTGAAACTGGAGATTGAAACTGGAGATTGAAATTGGAGATTGAAACTGGAGATTGAAACTGGAGATTGAAACTGGAGATTGAAACTGGAGATTGAAACTGGAGATTGGAACTGGAAATTGAAACTGGAGATTGAAACTGGAGATTGAAACTGGAGATTGGAACTGGAAATTGAAACTGGAGATTGAAACTGGAGATTGAAACTGGAGATTGAAAGTGGAGATTGAAACTGGAGCCTGGAAACAGGAGCCAAGAAATGGAAGAACACAAACTGGAGGTTGGAATTTGAGAAGTACTGTGACTCCTTTCTCGAAACTGTAGACTGGAAGTTGAAATTGGAGTACGGAAATTGGAAATTTTGGAATAAGAACTGGAGAGTGGAAACTGGTTACCGGAAATTGGACATTAGGGCCCGAAAGGTAGTAACTTGAAAGCCGCTCTGAAACTGAAAGTAACCCAAGACAATCAAAATACTCAATACACTCAAAACCCTCAGAAGCATAAACTGGAATCTGGGGACTAGAACTTGGAAGGTAAAAGCTGGAAACTAAAGACCAGGTACAGAAGATAGGACACAGGAAAATAGAGAGTAGAATAGCAACTAGATACTGATGGAAACTAGAGACTGAAAACCGGGAACCAGAAACTGGAAACTGGTGGACAGAAGCCGAAGGATGGAAATTGGAAAATAGATACAAAAGCCAGGAAACTGGATGCTAAAAGTTAGAACATAGAGATTAGAAACTGGGACTGCAGACTAGAATCTGGAGATTAGAGACCGAAAAGACTGAAAGTTAAAGATTGAAACTGATTTCTGTAGAATAGAAACTTGGAGAATGGAGACTGGAGACTGGAATCTAAATACCGAGGACTAGAAACTGGACATTGTAGCCCAGATGTAGTAATTTGAAAACAGCCCAAGATATTCACTTGAAACCCCTCAAAATCATAAGCTGGAAGCTGGAGACTAGAAACTGGACGCTATAGACTGGAAATTAAAAACTGGGACTAGAAACCGAAGACCGCAAATAGAAGGATGCACATTGAACACTTGATAATAGTAACTAGAGACCGGAAACTGGGGACTGGAAACTGCGGACTGGAAACTGGAGACTTAAAACTAGAAACTTGTAACTGGAGACCGGAAACTGGAGATTAGAAGGCAGACTGGAGGTTGCAAATTGGAAAATAAAGAATGTAGACTGAAATTAGATCTTGGAAACTAAAGAGCTATGCAGTGCGGGATACAAGATATACGCAACCTACCTACTACGAGGGCCACACATCCAAGACACCAGTACGAAGCAGGTTTCATAAACGGACCAAGAGGATTCTAGACGAACATTGGGGGGCAGGAACCAAAATATGGCTTCTAGCCTTCCACCAAATGAAGAATGAAGCAGTAGCCATCTCTCTGACGCTGCTGCGACTGCCCAAATTCCTAAACAATAGAATTATAAACGCGGGCCTAAAGGAATATACTAGTATACAATGGTTTGGGAAGAAGGCTGCTCTCCCTAAGGCTCTTTGCTAAGAATGCACGTGCAAACACAAAATGAAGAAATAAAGACGAGTACTAGAGGTGGAGGAAGAATCAGACATAAGCACAAGCAGCCAAGAGGAGGAGGAGGAGGCAGACAGGGAGGCGGCTACTCCAAGAATATGCCAAAGTAACTAGTGAAAGTCTAGAGAGTTAATGGGGAAAACCACAGAAGGAAAATATTTGGAGCGAAGGACGCAAGATTAATTTTATTATGAATGCGACAAATTCAAGACGAAATCGCTGGAGAGTAAAAACGTTGGAGGGAGCTACAGGAAAGGATGGATGTAAAGGGAGACATCATAAGTTGTTACAGGAAAACATCAGGAATAGAAAAAGAGATGCAGAAGAACCTGCTGCGGTGATTGGGCATCTCAGCGGAAGGAAAAAGTTCTAGAATTGGAATTGTTTTATAGACAAATGCGGGTTAAACAAAAAAAAGTAATTAGGCAATTGCTGGGAAGATCGTTCTAGATGATCTAAGTGGTTATGTAATGACATGGGGTTCGTTTGTTTTTTCAATTTTTTTGTGCCGCCATCTTGATTTGATCTCAATCAAAATATATTGTGACACATTTGGCCAAGTGTTAACAAGAAATATCGCAATGGGAAAACCGCCTGCGTAAAGCTACACATATTCGCGGGATAACGGCGTAAAAACGAAAGTATTAGGTAAATCACCCGAGCCGCGCGCCAAGAGTTTTTAATTTCCGGTACACTCGCAAGGATTCCGCATAATTGGTCTCGATTAGCAGAAGGTTTACTCGAAAATTTGTCAATGAAATACGCCGTTCATACTGTAAACAGACACGATATCCATGTGCGAGAAGTAGAAGGGAATTCCGACGCGCGATCTTGCGGCCTTTAAACCGCATCGCATCAGAATAGGAGGGTATAAAGCACTTGTAGCCATTTTAAATCGACCAGTTCGATTCGCGAATCCAACGTTTTAGGATTTACCTCCTTAATTTTAGGGGTTAGCCTAATCACGCGTTATCCCGCCGCACGAAAATGCCGCCGCAAGGCGACTTACCGGAAATCCGCGAGGAGTCGCAGTTCGCGACGGTGACCTTAGGTCGTACGAAAAGTGCCGTTTTGAGTGACGGGAACGACAAGGAAATCAAAAAGGATAGCGACGACACGTTCGAGTTCGACGATTTATTGCCGCACGTGGGAGAATTCGGACTTTATCAGAAAATTTTGTTTTTGTTAATGATTCCGTTCGCGTTTTTCGTCGCGTGGGTCTACTTTAGTCAAATTTTCATCACGATCACCCCCGAGCGATATTGGTGCAGGGTGCCCGAATTGGAAAACTTAACAAGGGAGGAAAGGTAATTAATTACCTACATTATTGACGTGTAATTAACGCCTGAAATTTATATACCTATGTTTAGTAAGAGTGTGGGGTTATCGTACCGTTTGACAGTTTTATGAGTAATTGTCATTATAATTAATCTCGTGTAATCGACTGACGCCTACTTGCCAGAAGAGACAAGTCCCCACGCATGGTTTTTCCTTTGGTGAATTTTTCTTAAAATTCACCACGCTGGTTTCCCCAAAATTCGCGGTATTTGCATTTTTATTTGTGGATCCAAAGGTCTTTTGTGTTTTTTTACATGTGAATCATAATACCCTGATACAGGCCGGAAAGTGTTTTAATTTTGTGGACAAGGCCTCAATTGCCATTTTACATTTTTTGTGCAAAAAGTCATGTTATTTTAGAATGACAGGGTTTAACCAACCGCAACACTTTCTACACGCTTATCACTTATCACTTTTAACGACAATTTATTTTAATGTTACATAATGCATTTTATAGTTAACAAAAATGCATCAAATTCATGTCTAGGTCATTGAGATAATGCTCCTAAATCTTGTTCCCAACGATATCAGTGCAAGAATAACGATTTTGACATGTTTTGATCAAAATCCATTTGGTCCCCACAAATAGATCAAATTCATGTTTTGGTCATTGAGATAATGCTCTTGGTCTTTTTCCCAACGATCTTGGTGCATAAATAACAATTTTAACATGGTTTGATCAAAATCCACGTGGTCGCCAAAAATGCATCAAATTCATGTCTTGGGCATTGAGATAATGTCCCTAGTCTTTTTCCCAGTGATCTTGGTACAGGAATAACGATTTTGACATATTTTGATCAAAATCCATGTGGCTTCAGAAAGATAATTTAACATCTTTGAATCACACACAGGCGGTTATCAAATGTGCACGTGATGTACTCTTTCAGCATCAAGATAATGTGTTGGAAAACTTTTAAAACTCCAAATTCATGTGTAAAAAATAATTTTGGGTACATTTTGCTCTAAAACTTTAAACCTATACCACAGAGAAGAGTTATATTAAATTGTTACACGTCTAAGGGTCATTCCGAAAATGCCGTAGGGGTTTGAAATTTGGAGGAAACATAGCTTGTTTTATATATAGACGGAGATAATTCTTTGGGCCCATAAAGTTGAACCGTTTCAAAGATCTCACGATTTCTGAAAAAAACCACCTCTTTTTCAAGGGGATGAAAAATCTATTTTTTCATTGTACAGAGGTGTGCGGGGTAGCAAAATTTTCGGGGAGGCTTATATTTTAATAAACAAAAATAAAAAAATATTATTCCTATAGCAAAAATTCGAGAAAATCGCCGAAAACTGGGAAAACAGTTAAAAGATATACACGGTTTTTGACATGATAAATCAACGTGTTGGACGTTAATAAAGATTTTTTCGAAATCTGTCTTCTTGCTTCTCTTTAATGTTTGCTTAAATATTCTCTTTTGTTATCTTAGCTCAACTGTTTTAGTTAAAACATCTTTATTCTTTCTTTTTTCTGCATTATTGATTTGATTTGTTGATAAACTTCCAAAATCTGCAATAAGAACGTTAGTTTTACCGGCCATAGCAAATTATTTGAGATGTAAAATCTGGAATAAACTTCGTGAGGATTTTATTCATAATTGCTGTAAATTAACGATCAACAGGCCCAGCTTAATCCCATCAGCTGTAAAACAGGCAGAAAGAAGAGTTAGTGAACAAAAACAAATTGTTCAGGAAGCAAAAAAATTCGGTTTTACTTCGAATTGCTTTTATTGCGGTAAAAATTCAGAAAAAAAAAATAATAAAGATGTTTTAAATAAGGCAGTTGGGCACTGGCAAACAAAAGAAAATATTTTAGCAACATTAAAGATGAGAGAGAAGACATATTTTAAAAACTTTTTATTAACGCGGATCCAATACGTTAATTTGTTTGCAAAAAAAGCTATTTACCTATACTATCAAAAACGGTATATCTTAAAACTGTTCCCCCCGTTTTTGCGGCTTTTCTTAAAATTTTTCTGTTGGAATAATATTTTTTATTTTTGATTATTAAAATGTAAGTCGTTACGAAAATTTTGCTACCCCGCGCACCTCTGTACGATGAAAAAAATAGTTTTTTCGTCCCCTTGAAAAAGAGGTGTTTTTTTTTCAGAAATCGTGAGATCTTGGAAACGGTTCAACTTTACGGGCCCAAAAATCTTCTTTTTTATCACAAAACAAGCTGTTTTCTCCAAATTTCCTCCCCTACGACTTTTTTTCGCAAAAATAAGAATAAAAAACGAAAAACACAGTTTTTCCGGTTTTTCTAAGAAAATTGGGGGTTATGTGAAAATAGTGTAGATACAAAAGTTGCTCATTTTTTTAATCTCTATAAGTTTTCTATTTAACATTTTCGTCTAAAATTTATAGATTTGCCACAATTTGCAAAATACCACCTTCCACCCCTTTCAACCCCCGTGATTTCACCCGCAGAAAAATTCAGCTGTTTTTATTTTTTTCCAATTTCTATTCATTTCACCTGCCTGAAAAACCCGGTTTTGCCCGGTAACTAATTTTTTTTTTTATAAATTATTTTAGAGCTATTTAGCCTGGACTATATGGTGAAACTTGAAAGTGGTGTTTCCTTAAATATTAGAGATAATGACAAAACGGTGCCTTTTCTTTCGCGACGGTGAATTTTTCTGTACACTAAATGATTTTGAGCAGTCATCGTGTGTATACGAATCGTATTTGGTCAGAATTGTAATAAAGTGTGCAATTTTAATAGAAGGTTTAAGTTATTACATTGTCAAGTGAAGTACTATAAGTTCGAGAGAAGTCTTTTAAAGCGTTTTGTTTGTTACCGGAACAAGTTGCACTTAGTAAAAGTTGAGTAAAGCAAGCAGTTGTTGCATTGTGAAGCTTTTCTGCGAGGTTCTAAAAAGTTTTGTTTTCTTATTTTAATTGTCGACCTCCTGCGTGCGAGGTTATATGTCCAAACAAGTTTTGTTCTTTATCATGCCAGGAGTTAAAAAAAATTAGTGTAATTAATTGTTTGCAATTTTCGGAAGTTGGTTGAGGCTGGTGAATCTACTAAATTATGAATGCAAAGTCAGCATCGAGATTTATCTTTGTGACAGAAGCCGTAGGTATCCGAGAAAAATAACTACAAGTCTAAACTTAAGACTAAATAAAGACTTAAAAAATGAGATAGAAGAAATGGACGATGAAAGGGAGAAGGAGGAGCTACTATTGAGTGGAGATTTTAATGGTAGAATAGGGAGTAAAGGAAAATGGGTAGAGATGGGAAGAGGAACACAAAAATAGGAAATTAGAGGTCTCCCATAGACGTCAGCATCAAGTAAGATTTCAATTGGGTAATAGCTATTTCCCACATCTGAAAACTTTATTCTTTTCCTGTTCAACTTTTTAACTACAATAGAGTGACTTGAAACACGTGGGATAAAGTTGCAGATCTTTTCTTCGTCACGTACTCCAATGATACATGAATACTCTTTTCCACCAATCTTGTATGTCCATTAACCTAGGAGAGCAAGGTCAGCAGAACACAATCAAACATTGCGTAATTAGGTGCTAATTAAGTGCCCGGTTCATATGAACTCAGCAGAGCACTACCAAAGAGGGTGCTCTTTGGCACTACCTCAAAAACCACGAAAATGAAAAGTGAACTAATTATAATTAGTTGCTAATTGGGTGCTAATTAAGTCCCATCCCCGAATTAAATGCTCCTTTTTTTTTAATTATTACATGTTCTGTCAGGTTCATATGAACTCAGCAGAGCACTACCTCAAAAACCACGAAAATGAAAAGTGAACTAACTATAATTAGGTGCTAATTGGGAGCTAATTAAGTGTCCCATCCCCGAATTAAATGCTTCTTTTTTTTAAAATTGTGAACCTGGCAGAACATGTAATAATTTAAAAAAAAGGAGCATTTAATTCGGAGATAGAGCACTTAATTAGCGCCTAATTATAGTTAGTTCACTTTTCATTTTCTTGGGTTTTTAAGATAGTGTTCTGCTGACTTCATACGAACCTGGAAGAACATGCCATAATTTAAAAAAAAGGAGCATTTAATTCGAGAATAGGGCACTTAATTAGCACCTATTTAGCACCTAATTATGGTTAATTCACTTTTCACTTTCTTGGTTTTTTGAGGTAGTGCTCTGATGAATTCATATGAGCCTGGCAAAACATGTACTAGTTTAAAGAAAAGGAGCATTTAATACGGGAATAGGGCACTTAATTAGCACCTAATTAGCACATAATTATAGTTAGTTCACTGTTCATTTTCTTGGTTTTTTGAGGTAGTGTTCTGCTGAGTTCATATGAGCCTGGCAAAACATGTAATAGTTTAAAAAAAGGAGCATTTAATACGGGAATAGGGCACTTAATTAGCACCTAATTAGCGCCTAATTATACAATATGTTTGATTGTGTTCTGCTGACCTTGCTCTGGACATCAATCTTGTCCAATGTCACATGACGTATATTGCGAGTAATCATTTCCGTCTGAGTGCCTCCAAAGAGCGAACGAGTAATTTTGCTTGTCTTTACTTCCAGTCCTAGATTCTCAGCGGTTGAATTCAAAATGTAGGATCCTTAGGAGCCAAGAACATTCTCACTGTCTTCTCCTTAGTTCCACATCTTGCTCGAGCTATCTCCTTACTACAAATCTGATTCACACATCCGGTTATATTTTCGGCAGTGGTAGATGTAGTAGAATCTGTAACTTTCCCTTTTAACTTATCAGCAAGGTTAGAACACACACCACCACAAATGAAACAGTTAAGACTCTTCTTATTTTGAGTGATGCCAAACTACAAAAGAATCACAATACCTTTGTAGTCCGTGTTATTGGGAATTAAAGTCAAGATCCAGAAATTCCTGCGTAGTGGAAAATTCCCCTAGGGCAAGGTCCGCGTTCTTTGGTATTTGACGACTGTTAAAAGTTGTCAATGTCTCAAGGAAAAAAAACGCCTTCGCTCGCGCCGTTATTTAGAAACA